CCTGCTTTTGGAGCTAATGGGTGGTTTTATAGCCCCTTTGGAAGTTCATAAGACCAGGTTACCATAGTAGGGCTGTCCTACTGAGGGAGTAGACTCTTCGTACTGTCGTCTTACCAAGAGTGCTTATCGCCCATATGTAAAGGTTCATTGGCGTTACTAAATGGAAAAATACGAGGAAGGTGGTGTATGCAGAGGGATGGGAGAGGGGCAAGTCTAGTTTGGAACTAGATTCTCGGGTCCACGACACCCAACAAACTCTGCCAGATCATCTGGGTTGGTGGTTCAGGATTGCAGCATAATCTAAGTCTTGTAAGATTGCGCCGAGTGTGTTTTGTCCAGCATTACAAATGACAAATAAGGAAGGATAATGCCAGTGTTTGAGGTAGCAATTTAGCATTTAAATTAAGTTTGAGCCTAGGATCTGCGTGAGGTGTCATCAGAAATCTGAGCTGCTAGATCACAACTAATTTTATGTTGTGCTACCCAATACCAACATATGTATCTGAGCCATACAACTATACCATTGTTAGCATCTTATCATGGTTATATTTAACTCTCAAGTTTTGCTCTTATTATACCTACTAATCTCAAATTATTACAATGTACCTGTTAACTTTATTTCAATTTCGCTAGAAATGACTTAATTGTTAGTTTAAGGACCTGCCCGAAATAGTGCTAGTGGTTTAAAAAAAAAAAACACAATGCTATGTACTCAAACCCAATGTCCCTTTATGAATATATATAATAAAAAAGACGAAGTGGTGAAGGGTAGAGAATTTTTCTAAATTTAGGTTTTGCCCCGAAGGGCGAGTTTATTGGGCAGCGCCACTCATCCTGTGAGTGGACACACCGCCATAGTGACAGTATTGGGCAGCGTCACTCATCCTGTGAGTGGACACACCGCCATAGTGACAGTATTGGGCAGCGCCACTCATCCTGTGAGTGGACACACCGCCATAGCAGCACATACACAATTCCTAATAGGAAGAAAACCCGTTTGGGTGATCCTGTCACTTGTACCCAGACACAGCTGGGACTTAACAGACTAGTTAACAGCGTCTCAAGACTTAACATTGTCAACTCTTTAAAATCTTACGTTACCTTGCGGTTGCTAAATGGGGAAAATCTTAAATTTGAGAAATGGGTGTATTCTTAATGCAATATGGGGTTCATTATGTTACACATTTCCAATTACTTAAATGTTTACACACTGTAGGGGTCAAAGCTGTGTCCATCACTCGCTACACATTCGGCAACTCTGCCGTTTCCATTTAGAATTTATGAATATTTTTTAACAATCTGTTGGATACAAAGTCTTTGGTATGAAAAATATAACGTGGTCTTTCAGCAATCAACACAACTGTTCTTTCATTACCACAGATTTCAACATGGGAGGGGATCCACAGACATTTGGCTGTTTTCCCAGATTGGTTCGTACTCTACTATTTCAGGACTTTCTGCCCGATTCTTATCTAGGCTTCGTAGCGCTGTTTATGAATTAGTGCGCCATTAGCGTTTCGTTCAAGGAATCTTAACGCCATAAGAGCAGTTTTCTCTGCGTTTAAAAAAGCAGTTTTCAATACGTGCTTTTTCTTAATTTTCGCCTTAGAAGGCATTATTCTTAATGCTGCATCAGCGATGCCATTGACAGGATTAGACTAAATCAGTACACATTTGATCCAATTAAATTCCGGTTTTATTTGTATTTCATTCCGTCATTGTAGATGTTCCGTATAGAGCTTATCCTGGTTGGCTGTAGTTGGCCAGACCTGGGGACGAGAGGAAGTTAACATTAGGAATGTCAGGTATAAAATAGATATGTGCAATATTACTAAATGCAGTTCATTAAGCCTTCGTTAGACTTCTAGCAACCTTCACTCCCGCCCACAGGATAGATGTAGGTTGCACAACTAGGCACACGATGTGTATGGGTTCCCTTTACCACCCATATGGTAGTTATGGGGTTCACTAAACGCAATATCAATAGGAACAGACAAATATTCACATTTAAATCTTGAGTGATAGACTAATGCTACTCAAGACAATTTTACGAACATCTGACAGGATGTTATATAATTAGCGTTGATGGGTTATAAAAAAATACCGACATTCTAAAGACTTAACATATCCTAGTTCATGGTGTGTAGAATTTTTTTTACCCCATTACCAAAATTACATCTTTAACCTGCTGAATTATAGTAGTCATGTTATTAAGACTTATAGTTTTGAATTTGTAGTATTAAGGTTTCAACAACTATTAACCCCACTTTAAACTTATAGAAATTTGTAATATTTACTCTATTTTTTAAAGGTTGAAGCCAGACGTTAAGGGCTAGTCTTTCGCATGATATAAGTCAGGAAGAGGAGCGTCACAGGCCCGTTTGGGTCACCAATAGTGCCTCACGCAGCATTAGGCGTACTTAACCCAACCTCCATTTGTCAGGGAAAGTCTGAAATAATGATAGTTGCCCCCACATAAGAAATTGAGGAGAAAATCAAGTGAGGGATAGAGATGCAACACGGAGCAGGGGAAAGGGACGAACTAGACGCAACACTGGGCATGGATAGGTGGGAGGGGACGCAGGAGGGGGGAGGGGACGCAACAAAGGGGCGGTGGAAGGAGGAGGGGACGCAGCAAAGGGGCAAGGGACCTGGGGGTTCCTCACCACACAGCTCACCTCCAAGAGACGAAGCTGGAACTGTATACCAAAAGTGAGGTAAAAAAAAAAAAAAAAACACTGAAGTGCTTTTTATCACATCCTCTCTTTTATACCCAGCAGGCGACCAAACCCGGCCGCTGATTGGTTGACATTCACCTTAAAATTCACCCCATTGGTTAACATTTTGCGAGTCTGAAGTGGCAATTAACAATGGCCAACAGCCACTCCTTCACTTCCCCAAATACGAACGAGTCTCTAATGAACCAATAATGATCCCCAGCTTGAATGTTTGAAATTGTTAATTTAAAAATCTAATTCACAAACCAAATACAACATTCTGTTGTAAATGTTGCAACAGAACAACAGGTACAACAGAGCAACATTTGCAATAGAATCGGCAGTGAAGTCGTAATCGTCCGTCAGTCAAGGGCTGACCATCCACAGAATGAGTTTGGGTTCCAGTCCAGCATTGGCTGTTTCTCGTTCACAGTAAATTTAAGTCGGTTGAGTTTTGTTGGGTTCCCAGCCATATTGGTGTCTTTAAATGAGCGTGCGGATGCTGCCGCTAAGGAAGCTGTCCGCTCTTGTCCCATCTCTCGTAAAGGCATTCCGTATTCCGACTTTTACCCAGTTATCCATTCCTCAGTTCTTACCCGTTGGCAGGCTTCTTGGTTGTCTGTTACTGGTAACAAGCTACGTACTCTTAAATGTTGTGTTTCCTCGTGGCCGTCCTCCTTCCACCGTAACCGGCGGTGGGAAACAGCTCTGGCGAGGTTGCGTCTTGGCCATACTCGCTTAACCCATGGTCACTTGATGGAGCGCCGCCCTGCTCCTTATTGTCCTAGTTGCATTGTCCCTCTTACGGTCGTGCATGTCCTTCTTGAATGTCCTGACTTCCAGGACGAGCGTGTGTCTTGCTTTCCGACCGCCCCTCGCGGTCACCTGTCCCTCGATAGAATTCTTGGTGACTCGGATACTTTTGATATCGTTCGCCTTATGCGTTTTTGTTCTCGTATTGGCATCCTTGGTGATATTTAGCGCCCTCTGATTATTTTGCGTCTTTGATGGTGCTACATAGCCTTCCCGGTTTGGTGCCTTCTTTTGATAATTACTTACTTGGGTTCCAGTATTACCACAGAGTGGGTATGGGGCCCACTACCACCCACAGGATGAGTTTGGGTTCCACTACCGCCCACAGAGGGGTATGGGGCCCACTACCACCCACAGGATGGGTATGGGGCCCAGTACCACCCACAGGATGAGTTTGGGTTCCACTACCGCCCACAGGATGGGTATGGGGCCCATTACCACCCACAGGATGGGTATGGGGCCCATTACCACCCACAGGATGGGTATGGGGCCCATTACCACCCACAGGATGGGTACGGGGCCCACTACCACCCACAGGATGGGTATGAGGTCCACTATCACCCAAAGGATGGGTATAGGGTCCACTACCGTTCCCAGGATGGGTATGAGATCAACTACCGCCCACAGGATAGGTATAGGGCTCACTACCGCCCACAGGATGAGTATGGGTCTTCTGGAGGTCCCTAAAGGCCCCTGGATGTCCCTGGAGGCCCCTGGACGCCACCGGAATGTCCCTGGAGACCCATAAAGACCTGCTGGAGGTACCTAAAGGCCCCTGGAGGTTCCTGGCACTCCCCTGAGGCCCCTGGAGGCCCCTTGAAATTCCGTGGAGGTCTCTGGAGGCGCAAGGAGGTCCCTGGATGCCCACTGGATGTCCCTGGAGGTCCCAGGAGTACTCTGTAGGCCCGCTAGAGGTCCCTGGAGGCCCTCTAGAGGCCCCTTGAGATCCTTGGAGGTCTCTGGAGGCCCCTGGAGACCCCTAAAGCTTCCTGGAGGGCCCCTGGAGGCCACCCTGAAATTTCCTGGAGGTCTCTGGATGCCCTTGGAGGTATCCTGGAAGTTTCAAGAGGATTTTGGAGGCCAACTAGAGGCCCCTTGAGGTCCCTGAAGGCCCCTGGATGTCCCTAGACTCCTCTGGAGACCTGTAAAGGTTCCTGGAGGCCCCTTGAAATTCCCTGAATGTCTCTGGAGGCCCCTAGAGGTCTCTGGAAGCCCCCAGTATGTCCCTGGAAGGCCCTCTAGAGGCTCTTTGAGGTCTCTGGAGGCCTCTGGAGGTCCCTGAAGACCCTTGGAGGTCTCCTGGAGGGAACTGGAGACCCCTAAAGGCCTTCTGGACGTCCGTAAAGGCCCCTGGAGGCCACCTGAAGATCCCTGGAGGTCCCTGGAGGTCTCCGGAGGCTCTTGGCGGTCCCTGGAGGCCCATGGAGGTCCCTGGAGGCCCTATGGATGTTCCCTGGAGTTCCCTAGAGGTCACTGGAGGTCCCTGGAGGTCTCTGGATGCCCCCGCAGGTCTCTGGAGGTTTCTGGAGGCCCCTGGAGGTCCCTGAAGACCCTAAAGGTTTCTGGAGGCCCCCTTGAAGGCCTCTGGAAGTCCCAGAAAGCCCACTGGAGTTCCCCGGAGTTCCATGGAGGTCGCTGGAGGACCCCCTGGAGGTCTTTGGAGGTCCATGGAGGCCCCTGGAGGTCGCTAGAGGGCCCCTGAAGGTTCCTGGACATTTCCTTGATGTTCCAGGAGGTCCGTGGAGGCCCCCTGGATGTCCCCTGGAGGTCTCCTGGAGGACCCTGGAGGCCTTCCAGAGGGATCTCTAGGTCCCTGGAGGCCCTCTGGATGTCCCTGGAGGACCCTGGAGGCCTTCTGGAGAAATCTGGAGGTCCCAGGAAGCCCCTGGAGGCCCCGGGGAGGTCCCTGGAGGTCCCTGGAGGCCCCTGCAGGCCCCCTGGATGTCCTGCACCTATTTCCAGTTTCAAATTACGACTTTCTCTACCGAAAATATGCCAAAATTGAAAACGGCGATGAGTCATATTTTGCCCAAACCCCCCTGCAGTTTTCAAAATATCTGAAATGTCGGAAATTTGACTCCTAAGCGTGATTTTTGAGCCGAATTCTGACTTTCTGCACCTATTTTCACTTTCAAATTACGAATTTTTATACCGAAAATATGCCAATTACTGAAAACGGCGATGGGTCATATTTTGCCCAAACCCCCCCTGCAGTTTTCAAAATATCTGAAATGTGACTCCTGAGCGTGATTTTTTAGCCGAATTCTGACTCATAAAACCCTATTAGAGAGGTTCCTGGAGGTCCCTGGAGGTCTCTGGAGACCCCTATGATGTCCCTCTGGGCCCCCTAGAGGCCCTGTGAAGTCCTTGGAGGCCCCTGGAGGTCCCTGGAAGCCCTTAAAGGTCCCCTGGAGGTTCCCGGAGGTCCGCAAAGTCCTCCTGGAGGCTTTTAGAGGTCTCTAGAGGTCTCTGGAGACCCCGAAAGGTTCCTGGAGGCCCATAGAGACCCCTAAAGGTTCCTGGAGGCCACCTGAATGTCCCTGGAGACCCCTAAAGGCCCCCGAAGGTTCCTTTAGGCCCCTGAAGGCTCTGGAGGCCCCCAGGTTGTCTCTAGAGGGCCCCCATAGAGGCTCTTTGAGGTCCCTGGAGGCCTCTGGAGGTTCCTGGAGGCCCCTGGAGATCCCTCGAGGCCCCTGGAGGTCCTCGGAGGCACTTGGAGGTCCCTTAAGGCTCCTGGAGGCCCCTGGAGACCCCTAAAGGTTTCTGGAGGCCCCTGGAGGCCCCCCTGAAATTCCCTGGAGGCCTCCGGAGGCCCCTGGATGTATCCTGGATGTTCTTGGAGGTCCCATGAGGCCCCTGGAGGTCTTTAGAGACCCTTGGAGATCCCTGGAGACTCTTGGCCGCTCCCTGAAGGTCCTTAGAAGCCTCTAAAGGCCTTCTGGAGGGCCCTGGAAGTCTCTGGAGGCCCTTTGAAGCCCCGGGAGGGCCCTAAAAGGTCTCTGGAGGTCCCTGGAGGCCCCTAGAGGCCCCTTGCAAGTCCCTGAAGGTCTTTGGAGTCCCCTGGGGGTCTCCAGAGGCCCCCCTGAATGTCTACGGAGATCCCTAGAGGCCTCTGGAAGCCCCTTAGATTTCTCTGGAAGTTCCTGGACGCCCCTTGAAATTCTTTGGAGGTGTCTGGAGGCCCCTTGAGGTCCCTGGAGGTCCCAGGAGGACCCTGAAGGCCTCTAGAGGCCTCCGGAGGTCCTTGGAGCCGCCTGGAGGCCCCTGGAAACCCCAAAATGTTCCTGGGGGGGCCCTGGAGGTCCCTGGAGGCCCTATGGATGTCCCCTGAAGTTTCTTAGAGGTCCCTGGAGGGCTCTGGATGCTCCTGAAGGTCTTTGGAGGTCCCCTGCAGGTTCTTGGAGGTTTCTGGAGGCCCCTGAAGGTCCCCTGGAGGCCCCTGGAGATCCTTAAAGGTTCCTGGAGGCCTCTCTAAAGGCCCCTGGAAGTCCCAGAAAGCCCACTAAAGTTCCCCGGAGTTCCATGGAGGTCGCTGAAGGCCCCCTGGAGGTCTTTGGAGGTCCATGGAGGCCCCTGGAGGTCACTAGAGGGCCTCTGAAGGTTCCTGGACGTTTTTTTAATGTTCCAGGAGGTCCCTGGAGGCCCCCCTGGATGTCCCTGGAGGACCCTGGAGGCCTTCCGGAAGGGTCTGGAGGTCCCTGGAAGCAACTGGAGGCCTCGGGGGAGGTTTCTGGAGGCCCCTAGAGGTCACTAGAGGCCCCTGGAGGCCCCCTGGATATCCTGCACCTATTTTCAGTTTCAAATTACGACTTTCTATACCGAAAATATGCCAAAACTGAAAACGGCGATGAGTCATATTTTGCCCAAACCCCCCAGCAGTTTTTAAAATATCTGAAATGTCGGAAATTTGACTCCTACGAATGATTTTTGAGCCAAATTCTGACTCTCTGCATCTATATTCAGTTTCATATTACGACTTTTTATACCGAAAATATGCCAATTACTGAAAACGGCGACGGGTCGTATTGAGCCCAAACCCCCCTGCAGTTTTCAAAATATCTGAAATGTCGGATATTTGACTCCTGAGCGTGAATTTTGAGCCGAATTCTGACTCTCAATTCCTATTGGAGAGGTCCCTGGAGTCCCCCTGGATATCCCTGGAGGCCCCTAGAGGTCTCTGGAGGCCCCTAAAATGTCCCTGGGCCCGCCTTAGAGGCCCCGTAGAGTCTCTGGAGGTCCCTGAAGGCCCTTGAAGGTCCCCTGGAGGTCCGTAAAGGCCTTCTGGAGGTTCCTGCAGGCTCCTGGAAGCCTCTGGAGGTTTCTGGAGGGCCTTGGAGGCTCCTGGAGGTCCCTGGAGGCCCCTGGAGGCCACCTGAATGTCCCTAAAGACCCCTAAATGCCCCCAGAGGTCCATGGAGGCCCCCTGAAGGTCCCTGGAGGCCCCTGGAAATCCTTAAAGGTTCCTGGAGGCCACCCTGAAAGCCCCTGGAAGTCCCAGAAAGCCCACTGGAGTTCCCCGGAGTTCCATGGAGGTCGCTGGAGGCCCCCTGGAGGTCTTTGGAGGTCTATGGAGGCCCCTGGAGGTCACTAGAGGGCCTCTGAAGGTACCTGGACGTTTTTGTGATGTCCTAGGACGTCCCTGGAGGACCCTGGAGGCCTTCTGGAGGGGTCTGTAGGTTCCTGGAGGTCCCTGAAAGCCACTGGAGGCATCGGGGGAGGTTCCTGGTGGCCCCTAGAGGTCCCTGGAGGCCCCTGGAGGCCCCCTGGATATCCTGCACATATTTTCAGTTTCAAATTACGACTTTTTATACCGAAAATATGCCAATTACTGAAAACGGCGATGGGTCATATTTTGCCCAAACCCCCCTGCAGTTTTTAAAATATATGAAATGTCGGAAATTTGACTCCTGAGCGTGAATTTTGAGCCGAATTCTGACTCTCAATACCTATTGGAGAGGTCCCTGGAGTCCCCCTGGATGTCCCTTGAGGCCCCTGGAGGTCTCTGGAGGCCCCTAGGATGTCCCTGGAGGCCCCCCTAGAGGCCCCGTAAAGTTCCGGGAGGCCACTGGAGGTCCCGGAAGGTACTTGAAGGTCTCCTGGAGGTCCTTGGAGGTCCGTAAAGGCCTCTGGGAGGTCCCTGGAGGTCCGTAAAGGCTCCTGGAAGCCTCTGCAGGTTTCTTGAGGCCCCTGGAGGCTCCTTGAGGTCCCTGGAGGCCCCTTAAAGCCCCAGAGGTCCCTGGAGGCTCCTGAAGGTCCCTGGAGGCCCCTGGAGATCCTTAAAAGTTCCTGGAGGCCCCTCTGAAGGCCCCTGGAAGTCCCAGAAAGCCCACTGGAGTTCCCCGGAGTTCTATAGAGGTCGCTGGAGGCCCACTGGAGGTCTTTGGAGGTCTATGGACGCCCCTGGAGGTCACTAGAAAGCCTCTGAATTTTCCTGGACGTTTTTTTGATGTCCCAGGAGGTCCCTGTAGGCCTCCTGGATGTCCCTGGAGGACCCTGGAGGCCTTCTGGAGGGGTCTGGAGGTTCCTGGAGGTCCCTGGAAGCCACTGGAGGCCGCGGGGGAGGTTCCTGGAGGCCCCTAGAGGTCACTGGAGGCCCCTGGAGGCCCCCTGGATATCCTGCACCTATTTTGCAGTTTCAAATTACGACTTTCTATACCGAAAATATGCCAAAACTGAAAACGGCGATGAGTCATATTTTGCCCAAACCCCCCTGCAGTTTTTAAAATATCTGAAATGTCGGAAATTTGACTCCTAAGCATGATATTTCAGCCAAATTCAGACTCTCTGCACCTATATTCAGTTTCAAATTGCGACTTTTTATACCGAAAAGATGCCAATTACTGAAAACGGCGATGGGTCATATTTTGCCCAAACCCCACTGCAGTTTTTAAAATATATGAAATGTCGGAAATTTGACTCCTAAGCGTGATTTTTGAGCCGAATTCTGACTCTCAATACCTATTAGAGAGGTCCCTGGAGTCCTCCTGGATGTCCCTGGAGGCCCCCTGGAGGTCTCTGGAGGCCCCTAGGATGTCCCTGAAGGCCTCCCTAGAGGCCCCGTAAAGTCCCTGAAGGCCCCTGGAGGTCCCTGAAGGGCCTTGAAGGTCCCCTGGAGGTCCCTGGAGGTCCGTAAAGGCTTCCTGGAGATCCCTGGAGGTCCGTAAAGGCCTCCTGGAGGTCCCTGCAGGATCCTGGAGAACTCTGGAGGCTCCTGGAGGTCTTTGGAGGCCCCTGGAGGCCACCTGAATGTCCCTGGAGACCCCTAAAAGCCCCCAGAGGTCCCTGGAGGCCCCTGGAGGTCTCTGGAGGCCCCTTAGGTGTTCCCTGGATGGCCCACTAGAGGCGTTTTGAGGTTCCTGGAGGGCCCTGGCGGTCCGTGGAGGCTCCTGGAGATTCTTTGAGGCCCCTGGAGGCCACCTGAATGTCCCCGGAGACCCCTAAAGTCCTCCTGTACGTCCCTAAAGGCCCCTGGATGCCTCTGGAGGTCCCCTGGAGGCCCCCTGGAGGTCACCTGTATGTTCCTGTAGGTCTCTTGAGGCCCCCGGAGGTCCCTGGAGGCCTTTGGAGGTTTTTGGCTGTCCCCTGAGGCCCCTGGAGGCCCCTTGAAATTACTTGGAAGTCTCTGGAGGCGCCTGGATTTCTCTGGAGGCCCCCTGGATATCCCTGGAGGTCTCGGGAGTACCTTGTATGCCCTCTAGAGGCCCCCTGAGGCCCCTGGAGGCCCCCTGAGGCCCCTGGAGGCCCTTGGAGGTCCCTTGAGGCCCCTGTCGGTCCCTGGAGGCTCCTGGAGTCCCCTAAAGAATCATGGAGGCCCCCCTGAAATTCCCTGGAGGCCTCCGGAGGCCCCTGGAGGTATCCAGAATGTCATAGTGGTCCCTTGAGGCCCCCTGGAGGTCTCTGGAGGGCCCCCAAAATGTCCCTGGAGGCCCTCTAGAAGCCCCTTGAGGTTCTTAGAGGCCTCTAGAGGTACCTGGAGGCTCTTGGACGCCCACTGGAGGTCTTTGGAAGCCTCTAAATACCTCCTGGAGGGCCTTGGAAGTCTCTGAAGGCCCCTGGAGGTCCCTAGAGGGTCTCTGGAGGTCCCTGGAGGTTGTAGGAGGCCTTTAGAGGCCCCTTTGCAAGTCCCTGGAGGACTTTGGAGTCTCCTGGAGGTCTCCAGAGGGCCCCCTGAATGTCTCTGGAGGTCCCTAGAGGCCCTATAGAGTTCCCTGGAAGTCTCTGGACGCCCCTTGAAATTCTTTGGAGGTCTCTGGAGGCCCCCCTGGATGTCCCTGGAGGTCCCCGGAGGCCTTCTGGAGGGGTCTGGAGGTCCCTGGAAGCCACTGGAGGCCTCGGGGGAGGTTCCTGGAGGCCCTTAGAGGTCCCTGGAGGCCCATGGAGGCCTTCTGAATGTCCTGCACCTATTTTCAGTTTCAAATTACGACTTTCTATACCGAAAATATGCCAAAACTGAAAACGGCGATGAGTCATATTTTGCCCAAACCCCCCTGCAGTTTTCAAAATATCTAAAATGTCGGAAATTTGACTCCTAAGCGTGATTTTTGAGCCGAATTCTGACTCTCAATACCTATTGGAGGGGTCCCTGGAGTCCCCCTGGATGTCCCTGGAGGTCTCTGGAGGCCCCTAGGATGTCCCTGGAGGGCTCCCTAGAGGCCCCGTAAAGTCCCTGGAGGCCCCTGGAAGCTCCTGGAGGTCTGTAAAGGCCTCCTGGAGGTCCGTAAAGGCCTTCTGGAAGTCTTTAGATATCTTAAAGGCGTCCTGAAGGTCCCTGTTGGCTCCTGGAGGACTCTGGAGGCCACCCTGAATGTCCCTGGAGACCCCTAAAAGCCCCCAGAGGTCCCTGGAGGCCCCTATAGGTCTCTGGAGGGCCCTCTAGAGGCTTTTTTTGAGGTTCCTGGAGGCCCCTGGAGGTCACTGGAGGCTCCTGGAGGTCCGTTGAGGCCCCTGGAGGCCACCTGAATGTCCCTGGAGGCCTCCTGGAGGCCTCTGGAGGTCCCCTGGAGGCCACCTGTATGTCCCTGTAGGTCTCTTGAGGCCCTCGGAGGTCCCAGGAGGCCTTTGGAGGTTTCCGGCGGTCCCCCTGAGGCCCCTGGAGGCCACTTGAAATTCCCTGGAGGTCTCTGGAAGCGCTTGGATTTCTCTGGAGGGCCCCTGGATATCCCTGGAGGTCCCGGGAGTACCCTGTAAGCCCTCTAGAGGCCTCCTGGGGTCCCTGGAGGCCCTTGGAGGTCCCTTGAGGCCCCTGTAGGTCCTTGGAGGCTCCTGGAGACCTCTAAAGGTTCCTGGAGGCCCCTGGAGGCCCCCCTGAAATTCCCTGGAGGCCTCCGGAGGCCCCTGGAGGTATCCAGAATGTCCTTAGCGGTCCCTTGAGGCCCTCTGGAGGTCTGTGGAGGCCCCCAAAATGTACCTGGAGGCCCCTCTAGAAGACCCTTGAGGTCCTTAGAGGCCCCTGGAGGTACCTGGAGGCTCTTGAACGCCAACTGGATGTCTTTGGAACCCTCTAAAAACCTCCAGGAGGGCTCTGGAAGTCTCTGAAGGCCCCTGGAGGTCCGTAGAGGGTCTCTGGATGTCCCTGGAGGTCCCTGGAGGTTGTTGGAGGCCCCTAAAGCCTTTTTGCAAGTCCCCGGAGGACTTTGGAGTCTCCTGGAGGTCTCCGGAGGCCCCCTGAATGTCTCTGGAGGTCCCTAGAGGCCCCTTAGAGTTCCCTGGAAGTCTCTGGACGCCCATTGAAATTCTTTGGAGGTTCCTGGAGGCCCCCCTGGATGTCCATGGAGGACTTCTGGAGTGGTCTGGAGGTCCCTGCAGGTCCCTGGAAGCCACTGGAGGCCTCGAAGGAGGTTCCTGGAGGCCCGTAGAGGTCCCTAGAGGCCCATGGAGGCCCCCTGGATGTTCTGCATCTATTTTCAGTTTCAAATTACGACTTTCTATACCGAAAATATGCCAAAACTGAAAACGTCGATGAGTCATATTTTGCCCAAACCCCCCTGCAGCTTTTAAAATATCTGAAATGTCGGAAATTTGACTCCTAAGCATGATTTTTGAGCCGAATTCTGACTCTCTGCACCTATTTTCAGTTTCAAATTGCGACTTTTCATACCGAAAATATGCAAATTACTGAAAACAGCGATGGGTCATATTTTGCCCAAACCCCCCTGCAGTTTTCAAAATATCTGAAATGTCGGAAATTTGACTCCTAAGCGTGATTTTTTAGCAAAATTCTGACTCTCTGCACCTATTTTCAGTTTCAAATTACGACGTTTTATGCCGAAAATATGCTAATTACTGAAAAGGTCGATGGGTCATATTTTGCCCAAACCCCCCTGCAGTTTTCAAAATATCTGAAATGTCGGAAATTTGACTCCTAAGCGTGATTTTTTAGCAAAATTCTGACTCTCTGCACCTATTTTCAGTTTCAAATTGCGACTTTTTTTACCGAAAATATGCCAATTACTGAAAACGGCGATGGGTCATATTTTGCCCAAACCCCCCTGCAGTTTTCAAAATATCTGAAATGTCGGAAATTTGACTCCTAAGCGTGATTTTTTAGCAAAATTCTGACTCTCTGCACCTATTTTCAGTTTCAAATTACGACGTTTTATGCCGAAAATATGCTAATTACTGAAAAGGTCGATGGGTCATATTTTGCCCAAACCCCCCTGCAGTTTTCAAAATATCTGAAATGTCGGAAATTTGACCCTTGAGCGTGATTTTTGAGCCGAATTCTGACTCTCAACACTTATTGGAGAGGTCCATGGAGGCCCCCTGGAGGTTCCTGGAGGCCTCTGGAGGTCCTTGAAAGCCCCCTTGATGTCCCTGGAGGTCCCAGGAGACTACTGAAGGTCGCTGGAGGTCCCTAGAGGTCCCCCGTGATATCCCTTGAGGTCTTTGCAGGGCCCTGGATGTCCCTGAAGGTTTCTGGAAGCATCTGGAGGCCCTCTGGAGGTCCTTAGAGGTTCTTGAAGGTCTCTGAAGGCTCCTGGAGTCCCCCTGAATGTTCCTGGAGGAACCTGGATATTCCTCGAGGCCCCAGGAGGCCCCTGAAGGTTCCTGGAGGCCCCTGGATGTCCCTGGAGGTATCTAGAGGCACTTGGATGCCCCTGGGAGTCTTTGAAGGTCCCATGAAGGTCCCTCGATATCCCTGGACGACCCTAGCGGCCTCTTGAATGTCCCTGGAGGCCTTTGGAGGTTTCTGGAGGCCCCAGATGGTCTTTGGAGGCCCCTGACGGTCCCTGAGGCTCCTGGAAGTCCCTGGTGGCCCCCGGAGGTCTTTGGAGGCCCCTGGAGGTCCCTAGAGGTCCCTTTAGGACCCCTTGATGTCTCGTGAGGTCTTTGGAAACCCCTGGATGCCCCTGTCGGTCTTTAGAGGTCCCCTGGAGGTCTGTGGAGGTCCCTAGATGCCCCTTGGATGTCCCTGGAGGCCCCCTAGAGGATCCTTGAGGTCCCTAGGGGCTCCTGGAGGTCCCTGGAAGCTCCTGGAGATCCCTGGGGCCCCCGGATACCCCGACAGGTTCCTGCAGGCCCCTGGAGATCTCTGGAGGCCCTCTGACGGTTCTTGGAAGTCCTGGAGCCTCCCTGTAGACCCCTATAGGTCCCTCGAGGTCCCTGAAAGCCCCTGGAGGTCTCTGGAAGCCTCTGGAGGTCCTCGGACGCCCAATGGATGTCCCTGGAGCACCCTAGAGGACCTTAAAATGTTCCTGGTTGCCCTTGGATGCCCCTTAGAGTTCTCTGGAGGTCCCTGAACGCCCGTTGAAATTCTCTGGAGGTTTTCGGAGGCCTCTGGAGGTCCCTGGAAGCCTCTTGGAGGTCTCTGGAGGGCCCCTTGAGGTCCCTGGAGGCCCCCTGGATGTCCTTCGAGGCTTCTGGAGGTCCCTGGAGGTCCCTAGAGGCCCCCCTGGAAGTCCCTGAAGGTCTTTGGAGTCCCCTGGAGGCCCCTGGACGCACCCGGAGTTCCCGGGAGGTCCCTAGATGCCCTTTGAAATTCCCTGGAGGTCTCTGGAGGCCCCTGGAGGTCTCTGGAGGCTTCTTGGATATCCTTGGAAGTCCCAGTAGGACCCTGACGGCCCCCCTAGATACCCCACGTATCCGTATGGGGGGGCCGTCAGGGTCGGGGTCCCTGGAGACCCCTATAGGTTTTTGGAGGCCCCCTGAAGGTCCCCGGAGGTTCTGGAGCCCCCCGGAAGGCCCCTCAAAGTCCCTGGAGGTCCCAGAAAGCCTACTGGATTTCCCCGGAGTTCCCTGTAGGTCGCTGGAGATCCATGGAGGCCTCTGGAGGTCACTAGAGGGCCCCTGAAGATTTCTGGAGGTTTCCTTGATGTCCCTGGAGGTATCTGGAGGTCCCTGCAGGACGACCCTAACGCCCCCCCGGATGTCCCTGGAGGCCCCTGGAGGTCTCTGGAGGGCCCCTGACGGTCTTTGGAGGACTCCAGGACTTCCAAGGACCTTCAGGGGGCCTCCAGCGATCTCCAGGGGCCTCTAGGAACCTATAGGGGTCTCCAGGGGCCTCTAGGAACTTGTAGGGGTCTCCAAGGGCTTGCAGGGACCTCCAGGTGACTCCAGGGACCTCCAGCAGCCCCTAGGGACCTCAAGAATCCTCTAGTGGGGCCTCCAGGGACATTCAAGGGGCCTCCAGGGAGCTCCAAAGGCCTCAAGGGACCTTCAAAAACCTCCAGGGGCATCTAGGGGCCGCCAAAGACCTCAAGAGGGCCTCCAGTGACCACCAGGAGGCCTCCAGGGACATTCAGGGGACATCCAGGAGCATCTAGGGACGGTCAGGGTCTCCCAGCCTCCCCGAAGGCCCCTATAGGTCTCTCGAGGCCCTTGGAGGTCCCTGGAACCCCCTTGAGGTCCCTGAACGCCCAATAGATGTGCCTGGAGAACCCTCGAGGCCCTTTGGATGTTCCTGGTTGCCCTTGGATGCCTCTTAGAGTTCCCTGGAGGTCCCTGGACGCCCCTTGAAATTCCCTGGAGGTTTCTAGAGGCCCCTGGAGGTCCCTGGAGGCCCTCTTGGAGGTTCTAAGAGGACCCTGAAGGCCACCCTAGAGGCCCCTCAAGGTCCCTGGAGGCCCCTGGAGGTCCCAGTAGGCCACTAAAGGTCCCTGGAAGTCCCTGGAGGCCCCTGGATGTCCCTGGAGGTATCTAGAGGCCCCTTGATGCCCCTGGAAGTCTTTGGACGTCCCATGGAGGTCCCTAGATGCCCCTTGGAGGTCCCTGGACGACCATAGCGGCCCTCCTGGATGTCCCTGAAGGCCTCTGGAGAGGTCTCCGGAGGCCTCTGGTGGTCTTTGGAGGAACCTGACGGTACCTGGAGGCTCCTGGAGGTCCCCTGGATGTCCCTGGAGGCCCCCTGGAGGTCCCGGGAGGCCCCTGGAGGTGCCTAGAGGCCCCTGGAGACCCCTACAGGTTCCTGGAGGCCCCTGAAGATCCCTGGAGCCTCCCTGAAGACCCCTATAGGTCCCTAGAGGCCCCTGAAGGCCCTTGAAGGCCCCCGGAGGCCCCTGGAAGCCCCTGTAGGTCCCTGAACGCCCAATGGATGTCTCTGGAGAATCCTAGAGGCCCTTTGGATGTTTCTGGTTGCCCTTGGATGCCCCTTAGAGTTCCCTGGAGGACCCTGGACGCCCCTTGAAATTCCCTGGAAGTCCCTGGAGGCCCCTGGAGGTCCCTGGAGGCATCTTGGATGTCCCTGGAGGTCCTAGGGGGTCCCTGGAGGCCCCCCTAGAGGCCCCGTGAGATCCCTAGAGGCCCCTGGAGGTCCCTGGAGGGCCCCCTAAAAGTCCCTGGAGGCACATGTAGGTCTCTGGAGAGCCCCTGGAGAGCCCCTGGAGGTACCCTATATAGAGGTATAGGGAGCCGGTCGGCCGAGCGGACAGCACGCTGGACTTGTGATCCTGTGGTCCTGGGTTCGATCCCAGGACCACACTACCACCCACAGGATGTGTATGGGACCCACTACCCCCCACAGGATGGGTATGGGACCCACTACCCCCCACAGGATGTGTATGGGACCCACTACCACCCACAGGATGTGTATGGGACCCACTACCACCCACAGGATGGGTATGGGACCCACTACCCCCCACAGGATGGGTATGGGGTCATTTGAACGACGTTGAAAATATATACATGAATCTACGTAGATATTGGCATGTTTGTGGCGATAATTAATAATAAAAAAGTATTATAACGAGGACACCGTCATTAGCACGACGGGAACCAACACACACAGTGAGTAAAACTCCATCTGCTGCTGATACGGTTCACCGCCTTTGATAAGCGAATCGGTACAAAAGAGACATTTTATTTCGTTTGTTACAGCAATTCTAGCGATAACATCCTCTGACCTACTCCAGCGCCTTAGGATATATAAACCCAGGCATCTCCACAGCTGAAGACTCGTCCCCATCATCATGGCTTTGTTGAATGCGATTGCGATAGTGTTGTCGTTAGCGGCTGTCTCAGGTAGGTAATGGCAATATGGTGCCGCTTCTAAACATATTTTTTGCGTTATTGAAGAGTTGGTTGAGTGTGTAGGTGTTTGTGCGTCGTGGCGGGTGTCTGAGGTGTCCTTTCCTCTACTCCAGCAGACGCTTCTATCATCTTCGACGTCGCCGACGTCGAGGTGACGCCGGGACAGACGCTGACGCTCTCCTGCGGCGTCAGACAAGAGTTCCGTCACTGTTTATGGGAGAACGAGAGAGGAGACATCTTCCAGGTAATGTCCTGGTGTTTACTTGTTAAACAAGATGATGTTTTAAAGTTACCTGCATAGCATTAAATTTGCAATTTATTTAATTAAACCTTCTACCTCTTGTGGCAGTCTGAACACGACAAAGTGAGAATTTATGAACTATATTAGAACTGTTGCAAAATTATTCATCCACAATTTGTCGCATTGACAAAATAAGAGAAAACGAAGATTGCGACAGAAACTCTTACAAAAACAGCCTTGAGTATCACAGGTTTATGTATAGACATATATAAGCCTTCTCCACAATGCCTGACAGGTTGAGGATGTCCACGCCGGCGTCCACCCGGGGTTGAGAGCGCCGGAGGACCTCACAGACAACCAGTGCGGCGTCGTCATCGACTCCGTCAGCGTTGAGGACCTCGGGGCGTGGACCTGCAGGGTCTTCCTGGCTGGCCGGACGCTGCTGGCGTCTAGGAACGTTGGGAAAACTCAGGCAGAGTGTAAGTAACTTGATGTGATTTCTGATGAGCTAAGGTTGCTGGAGCTGATGGTGGCTTTATTCGGTTTCTTTGGCCCGTAAGTTCTAACGTAATGTCTTCGTGATTTACAGAAATGTATATACACACATACACACAGCTGCATATTCTAGGTTGGCCAACATAAGAACTGCCTTTAGAAACTTGTGTAAGGAATCGTTCAGGACCTTGTATACCACTTATGTCACACCAATCCTGGAGTATGCAGCTGCAGCCTGGAGTCCATACCTAGTTAAACACAAAAGAAAGTTAGAGAAGATTCAGCGGTATGCCACCAGACTCGTCCCGGAACTGAGAGGAATGAGCTACGAGGTAAAGGTTAAAGGAGCTGAACCTCAAGTCCCTGGAAAACAGAAGAGTTAGGAGAGACATGATAACTACCTACAAAATTCTCAGGGGAATTCACAGGGTGGACAAAGACAAACTCTTCAGCACGGGTGGGACACGAACAAGGGGACACAGGTGGAAACTTAGTATCCAAATGAGCCACAGAGACATTAGAAAGAATTTTTTCAGTGTCAAAGTAGTTTACAAATGGTATGCATTAAGCAGTGATCTGGTGGAGGCTGACTCCATACACAGTTTCAAATGCACAAATGTGATAGAGCCCAATTGGTTCAGGAACCTGTACACCAGTTGATTGACAGTTGAAAGGCGGGACCAAAGAGCCAGAGCTCAACCCCCGCAAGCACTATCAGGTGAGTATAGTACCTCACAGTATATATCTTAGCATCACACAACACATGAACTAAATTATTTTCAAATGGTAATTTTGGTGTAAATTTTGTGGCATCTGGGCACATCTCCATCGAGGTGTCGATGTTCCTATAATACGGTGGTTCACCAGGACAATTTAATCATTATTCCGTATTTATATCACCAAAATGAACCTTCTCATTTCATTTCTTCACTTCAGTCATCTCCTCTTCTCTCTACGTCTCTCTAGCAGTTGGAAATTTAGATTTATTTCCCCTTCTTAATGTTTATGTTTTCATAAGGGAATTACATGATGACATTACTCAATACTAACTGCAAGTTTTGCCCCTGACAGCGTGTCCCGATCCGTTCGTGCTGCTGGGAGGACAGTGTTATTACTTCCATACAAGTACTACGTTAAGCTGGTAAGTCAGAGGAATCGGAGGCGTGAGAGATCTGGCGAACACAAACACGCTGAAGACAGCTTCTGGCACGCCACAAACTCTCGCTTGTTGTATATGTTAAATGTTTGTTTTCCGCGTGTTTACAACTTATCAATTAATCTTACTTTAACCAAATATATTAACACCATTTTTTAAAAGAGATATCACAACACTTGTTAATTACAACCAATAGGTGGTTGTCAACCATTTCTGCATCTAACATATGTTGTTCATCCTCATTCTGTCAGTCTCATCCTCCTGGCCTCATCCATTTCTCTCTCATTCTCCTATCCACCCTCAACATCCTCCAACTCTCACACACCGCAGACTTCAAGACCCAGATTCACGAAGCAGTTACACAAGCACTTACGAACGTGTACATCTTTCCTCAATCTTTGACGGCTTTGGTTACATTTATTAAACAGTTTACAAGCATGAAAACTTGCCAATCAACTGTTGTTATTGTTATAAACAGCCTCCTGGTGCTTCGGAGCTCATTAACTGTTTAATAATTGTAAACAAAGCTGCCAAAGATTGAAAAAACATGTACAGGTTCGTAAGTGCTTGCGTAACTGATTCGTGAATCTGACCCCTAATTCGAAAGTGCTTGCGAAAGTGCTTTATGAATCAGGGTCCAGATTAGTGAGAGGCAAGAGTGGAAGAGCGAGGTTGTAAGACAATAATGAGGGGGGGGGGATGTCGGATGATTCAATACGTATGATGAAGTCAATAAAAGCTGACTGATCATCCAAGCGAAGCATCAGGGGGAAAGTTATGAGATATACTGAACAATCAGACGTCATTATTTCGAGTCCAAGTGACGTCATGCTAACTTATAAAGTCACAACCTGGAAGAGGACAAAATAAATTAGTAACAATTGATAATTGATTGTAAGTTGACAATAAAATCAAGTAGAATACATGTGTCAGAGTGGATGGTATTATGTCAGAGGCGATTTACACCCAGTTGATTATCAATTAATCAATTATGTGGATTTTTAGGATTAATATGATAAAATTCTCAGCAGAAGGAAGTGAATAGATGTTTGTGATACAAGCATTGCCCATCAGAGCTGTGATCTGAGTGTTTGTGATACAAGCATTGCCCATCAGAGCTGTGATCTGAGTGTTTGTGATACAAGCATTGCCCATCAGAGCTGTGATCTGAGTGTTTGTGATACAAGCATTGCCCATCAGAGCTGTGATCTGAGTGTTTGTGATACAAGCATTGCCCATCAGAACTATGATCTGAGTGTGATACAAGTATTGCCCATCAGAGCTGTGATCTGAGTGTTTGTGATACAAGCATTGCCCATCAGAGCTGTGATCCGAGTGTTTGTGATACAAGCATTGCCCATCAGAGCTGTGATCTGAGTGTTTGTGATACAAGTATTGCCCATCAGAACTATGATCTGAGTGTGATACAAGTATTGCCCATCAGAGCTGTGATCTGAGTGTTTGTGATACAAGCATTGCCCATCAGAGCTGTGATCCGAGTGTTTGTGATACAAGCATTGCCCATCAGAGCTGTGATCTTAGTGTTTGTGATACAAGCATTGCCCATCAGAGCTGTGATCCGAGTGTTTGTGATACAAGCATTGCCCATCAGAGCTGTGATCTGAGTGTTTGTGATACAAGCATTGCCCATCAGAGCTGTGATCTGAGTGTTTGTGATACAAGTATTGCCCATCAGAGCTATGATCTGAGTGTGATACAAGTATTGCCCATCAGAGCTGTGATCTGAGTGTTTGTGATACAAGCATTGCCCATCAGAGCTGTGATCTGAGTGTTTGTGATACAAGTATTGCCCATCAGAGCTATGATCTGAGTGTGATACAAGTATTGCCCATCAGAGCTGTGATCCGAGTGTTTGTGATACAAGCATTGCCCATCAGAGCTGTGATCTGAGTGTTTGTGATACAAGCATTGCCCATCAGAGCTGTGATCTGAGTGTTTGTGATACAAGCATTGCCCATCAGAACTATGATCTGAGTGTGATACAAGTATTGCCCATCAGAGCTGTGATCTGAGTGTGATACAAGCATTGCCCATCAGAGCTGTGATCTGAGTGTTTAATTTGGCCACGGAAAGCTCCTGATCTCTCTCCTGAATGCACTCTCCGTTACAGTCAAGCACACGCAAGCACAATCTAATTATCCCTTAAACTATGGGAGAAAAAAAGTCATGAAGATAATAGGTCAAAATTGTTGACCAGGCCACATACTAGAAGTTGAAGGGACGACGACGTTTCGGTCCGTCCTGGACCATTCTCAAGTCGTTTGTGAAGAGGAGGTAGAGACAGGTAATACATATTCAGGCAGGTCAAAATTGATGCAAATTTTGCATTGGCAAAATTGATGGGGAATTGATGTTTGGATTCTCCTGCAGGCAAGACGCCCGAGAGTACTGCTGGTCTATGGATACTGCCGCTGATCTGGCCGTGGTTGATGACTGTCATCAATTTGCAATTATCTGGGACCATATCCTCATATACTGTGAGTAATACCACCGCTGCTGACAATGAGTCACAATAACGAGGTTAATAATAATAATAATGCATATTATTCATTATATTCATCTATGTGTGTGTATATCACGAAAAATGTGATGTGTGTATATCACATTATATTCATCTATATATATGTTCCCTCCCTTCCTTCACCTGCTTGGGTATAAGAAATTATATTAATAATAACAAATCCACGTTAATCACACCCCATATTTCACACCTGGCTCCATGAAAGTGGCCTAGGGGTGTTTATAATTGCTAATATTTCTTAAAACACTTGATTTAGGCCTACTCCGAGCAGCCTATGTCTGTCCCATACCCCAGACCATTCCCCCTGCAAATTTTAGTGAGGCTAACCACAAGCATATAGCTTCCAACTTTGGACAGACATCCTGACATTATCTCTAATATCTCCGTTCTAGAGTCACTAACTCTTTCATTACACATATTCAGATACTGGAAAATGGTTCTGGGTCGGCGGCACTGACCTTGGACAGGAAGGTGAATGGTACTTCATAAATGGAAACCCAGTGCCAATGGGGCTTCCCTTCTGGCTTCCTGGAAGCCCCAACGACGAAGGAAATTGTCTTGATATCAGCGTCAATAGTGGATACTTCAACGACTACCCGTGTGTCAACAAAGGCAGCTTCATCTGTCAGATAATGTGAACAAAACAGTGGCAGTGACATGTCATGTCATGTCAGTGTTTAGCGTTGACATGACACGGATTTGTAAACAATACACGGCTCCAGACACCTGTGATTCTTGTTGTTACAATACACTTAAGTAACTTACTATAACATTTCAACTAAAGGATTACTGAAGTAAATTATACGTCATTACATGCATTCTATTTCATCAGATTTGTATTTATTTTATCAAACTACAGTGGAAATGTTGTGGAGACAAATAAAAGGCCCTGAAACAGACCTCATATAGGCAAAGTTGAGGACTGTGTTATTATCCAATATATTATTATGCAATGAATATTTAAATAAATTGATTTAGCAAATAACAAATTATTGTATCATTTTCCTATGCAAGTGAACGGTGGTGTATGTAATATGAGAATAATTCTGCAGACACAGTTAGAATTTGATCGGTGTTTATAAGGAAGTGTGAAGCCTTCCTAGGACATTCTGATTGTATTTTTTTGAGTCAAAGGATTGGAACTTTTTGTGTATTTTCCGTCATCGTGCGAGATCCCACCACCAGCTGGGATGATAGTATCGCCCCTGGGATAGATAGATGACTTCCATCACTAGCTGGGATGATAATGTCATCCCTGGGATAGATAAATGACTCCCATCACCAGCTGGGATGATAGTATCGCCCCTGGGATAGATAGATGACTCCCATCACTAGCTGGGATGATAGTATCGCCCCTGGGATAGATAGATGACTCCCATCACCAGCTGGGATGAGAGTATCGCCCCTGGGATAGATAGATGACTCCCATCACCAGCTGGGATGATAGTATCGCCCCTGGGATAGATAGATGACTCCCATCACCAGCTGGGATGATAGTATCGCCCCTGGGATAGATAGATGACTCCCATCACCAGCTGGGATGATAGTATCGCCCCTGGGATAGATAGATGACTTCCATCACTAGCTGGGATGAGAATGTCATCCCTGGGATAGATAAATGACTCCCATCACTAGCTGGGATGAGAATGTCATCCCTGGGATAGATAAATGACTCCCATCACCATCTGGGATGACAGTGTGATCACTGAGACAGACGAACAACTTCCACTTCAAGAGTCTGGGCTCAAGAAAGCAATATTTCACTCACTCTCCAAGATACTTTTTTCATTCCTCGTCAAAGACCTTCACATAACATTAGACAGAACGCATTCACTAGAATGCAAACTCAAGATAAACCTCAAACCCAAAACTCCAGTCCTTAAGTTCTCTTCCTCACAGCTTTACTAAGTTAACTAAATTCTTATACACACACTTAAGTACTACTGAGTTCACTAACGGAACATAATTTCAGTGAATTATTTTGTCCTCTCAATAATGTTCAGTAAACTGTGTCAATAAATCAAGAACAGAAGAATTTGCTTATTTGGAACTTGATAACTAAACTACTATACAAAACTTATTGCTGGCAATAATAATTTAGAAGAATTAGTCAATTATTCAAACAAGATTGAACTTTCACTAGTTATAATAATAGTGAATTGAAATTTATTGACTTTATTAGAATTAAGAAACAGTGAGGTGAGAGTTACATTTATTATGTCAGTGGAAGAATACAGTATTACATAGAATCTCAGACCTTTACTATGTCATCTAACCGTTCTTTACTGACTGTCTCTTACTGACTGTTGTGGTCAGTCTCGGTGCATATATCCCTTGAATAACAGTTCTCTCTGTTGCTAACAAGAGAACAAAATCTAATTTAACATTACAAATTAAATATTCCGAAACAATTGTATACAAAGTTCAATACATTACAATGCTACAGTCCAGACATGATTATAAAATGCTGTGTGTTTAGAGCCAGAGAGAGATCCAGCAAAGTGTAATGAATGTAATAGACACAGTTCTATCTATAATTTTGATAGATCCTCATAACCCTGAACCAGAGGAAAATTACACCAGTTCGAAGCAATGGTGTCTATAAATATTTCCTTAATGTTCTTGTTGACGTAGGAGCATGAGCTACGCTCAGTACAACTGCTGGCAAATGAAACTGAAAGGTGTTTCACAGGACGAGTCGTTCAAGTATCCATAAGTACTGGTTATAAGAAGGCAGTCGCCATCACTGGATGGGCTTCCAGGATACCAAAAGGGAGTTCCCATCGGTACTGGACTCCCGTCTATGAAGTACCAATCGCCTTTCTGCTCAAGGTCACTCCCACCGATCCACCACGAATGTCCAGGAACTGAGTAATTAAAAATATATAATTGCAACAGAGTTACAGGGTGAAACTGATATTTATTTGATAGGATTTGTGATAACTTATGTGGGTATGGTTACCTACATGTTCTTACAAGGCCAACCCCTATATATATATATGTCCTGTTTTACAGCAAATTGGTTTCCGATCCAGTTACATCTTATACCTATTCTTGAAACCGATTTCTTGGATGGATTAGGCCTCAACTACCTCTTCTCTAAGCTCGTTCGACTTTCTGAGAACTATGACGAAGTGTTTCCTTGCTTCCTAAGGGCTCATCTGAGCTTCTAGGCTCCACACAAGTCCTCTCCTCCCAGACCAAAACATTTCACTTTAGTTCACCCATAAAACAGCCTCAAGGCAACCAGGAGGCCTGGTCGACGACCGGGCTGCGGGGACGCTAAGCCCCGGAAGCACCTCAAGGTAACCTCAAGGTAAGGCATCGTATTTCCCATGATCATGGAGCCATTTCCCATTTATGTCCAATGTGGTAAGGTCTATATAATCTCCTGAGCCTACCCTTGGATTAAGGGTAACACTAATCCCAGGGATTAACAATAACTTGGATTAATACTAACCCCCAGGGACCAGACTTATAGCAAGACAAGTTATCTTATTGCCCTGGAATTCTTCCAGGTTTTCATGTGTAGTTCTCTATTGGGACCTAAATGTTCCAATGCAATTCTAACATGAGTAGTTTACAATGTCCAGATAGATGTTTTTTTTCTCCAGGAGTCTGATGGCAACATGAATGTTCGCTGTGTATACACCGCTGATGGTATACTGTTAATGTGTATGAATACTTGTCTGAGAATGTGTTAGAGTGGATATACCCATATACCAAGAGGGTGGGGATAATACCACGTGATAATATCAGAATTATAACTCACAGTATATTATATAACTTACAGTATATGAGGATATGGTTCCAGATAAGTCTGAACTGAAAGCAGTCGTCGACCACAGCCAAGTCTGAGAACGGGTCCACAGAGAGACAGTAGTCACGGGCATCTTGCCTGTATAGGAATACAATCATCACTTCACTGGGTGATTGTGCATCGTCAGTATAATGTTGACATTCATTGTGACCCGTCAACCTACTACCCACAGCGGAAATTGTCTTTAATTGTTGACCAGACCACACACTAGAAAATGAAGGGACGACGACGTTTCGGTCCCTCCTGGACCATTCTCAAGTCGATTGTCTTTAAATAATGATATTAATGAACTCTTTTGCTTTGTCTGTGATGGACAATAGCTTAAGGGAAAACTGGATCACATTTTTCGTTGGTTTGAGACTCTCAAACACTCGGAACACATCTCTACTGGGCAATGCTTGCATCACAAACACTCATAAGATAACGTGTGACATCAATTGGGCTCACAATGACATCTAATTCTTCAGTATATCTCACAGGATCCCACTGATGCTCCGATCAGAAGATCAGTCATCTCTTACTGACTTACTGAAACATCAGTCCCAATCAATAGTCTTACAACCTCGATCTTATACTCGAGTCTTACTACTCTGGTGTCTACGAGCTGGTGGATGAGTGAGACGGGTGAGGCTATGAAGATGAATGGAGAAGATGATGGTTGAAGGAATGAAAGAGGGAGATGGTGTGGATAGAAAGCTGAGAGTAGGAGGATATCCGGTTGAACTGTCATTCCACCGGTTCGCTACACTTACCACGTCAACGCTGTAGTTGTATGGAAGTAATAGCACTCTCCCCCGACCTTTCCAAACGGATCACGACAAGCTGTTCAGGGAGAAACGTTTAGGCAACTCAGAATAATGTTTCTTAAATATAAACGTTCCATTACTATTCTCTTCAAGCATAAATAAAGCCGTATTATATATTTAGTCTTTGGTAAAGGCTTTTTTGAGACTTTCACAGACATTGGTAAGGAAGACAGAGATGCATTGGAGTCATAGCAGAAAAATAAAAAAATCATCAAATCATCCTCTTAAAATCATCAGAACATGGGGTTGGCACAGGACAGGGAGGTGTCGTAGTAGCCAAAAGCTTAGTGGAGTGCCTCAGGACCTCTTCCTGACCCCATTTACTCTTCACCAAATACTAAATAATTCATAAACAGAAGCGATAATCAAACTAGTGGATTTGACGATGACTAAATAAATAAATTAATACAAAGAACCAAATACTTTACAAATTAATGACAGTGACAGGTAAGACAACAACTAGAAGACAGGTGACAGGTGACAGGTAAGGTGGCATACAGGACCCTGAGCCATACAGACGAACACCTAATCAAGAGAAATTGGGCCAAAGAAACTGAGTAGATCTACATTAAGATCCAGCAAGTAAACTAATCAGTACACTAACCATCGACCTGAGTTTTCCCAACGTTCCTTGACGCCAGCAGCGTCCGGCCAGCCAGGAAGACCCTGCAGGTCCACGCCCCGAGGTCCTCAACGCTGACGGAGTCGATGACGACGCCGCACTGGTTGTCTGTGAGGTCCTCCGGCGCTCTCAACCCCGGGTGGACGCCGGCGTGGACATCCTCAACCTGTCAGGCATTGTGGTGAAGGCTTATATATGTCTATACATAAACCTGTGATACTCAAAGCTGTTTTTGTAAGAGTTTCTGTCGCAATCTTCGTTTTCTCTCATTTTGTCAATGCGACAAATTGTGGATCAATTATTTTGCAACAGTTCTAATATAGTTCATAAATTCTCACTTTGTCGTGTTCAGACTGCCACAAGAGGTAGAAGGTTTGATTAAATAAATTGCAAATTTAATGCTATGCAGGTAACTTTAAAACATCATCTTGTTTAACAAGTAAACACCAGGACATTACCTGGAAGATGTCTCCTCTCTCGTTCTCCCATAAACAGTGACGGAACTCTTGTCTGACGCCGCAGGAGAGCGTCAGCGTCTGTCCCGGCGTCACCTCGACGTCGGCGACGTCGAAGATGATAGAAGAGTCTGCTGGAGTAGAGGAAAGGACACCTCAGACACCCGCCACGACGCACAAACACCTACACACTCAAGCAACTCTTCAATAAATCCAACATTTGCTGTGGGGGCGGCACCCCATTGCCATTACCTACCTGAGACAGCCACCAACGATAACGCAATCGTTATCACGAATCGACACAAGTAAACCATGATGATGATGCTGCTTCAGCGGTGAAGATGTCAGGTCTTATATATATCCTGAGGCGCTACAGTAGGTCAGACGATGATATCGATGGAGCTAATGAGACGCGGCTTGAAAACACACAAAAATCTCTTCCTTGTACCGCTTCTCTTATCAAGGGAGATACACAAAAGTAATCTCCTATCAGTTCCAGGTGGAGATTTACCCACTATGGGAGTAGATGTAGCTCCCATGGTAGCATGGCAGGGGTCTCCAGCAACACACTAGCAGGGGTCTCCAGCAACACACTTGCAGGGGTCTCCAGCAACACACTGGCAGGGGTCTCCAGCAACACACTGGCAGGGGTCTCCAGCAACACACTGGCAGGGGTCTCCAGCAACACACTGGCAGGGGTCTCCAGCAACACACTGGCAGGGGTCTCCAGCAACACACACACTGGCAGGGGTCTCCAGCAACACACTGGCAGGGGTCTCCAGCAACACACACACTGGCAGGGATCTCCAGCAACACACTGGCAGGGGTCTCCAGCAACACACACACTGGCAGGGGTCTCCAGCAACACACACACTGGCAGGGGTCTCCAGCAACACACTGGCAGGGGTCTCCAGCAACACACTGGCAGGGATCTCCAGCAACACACTGGCAGGGGTCTCCAGCAACACACTGGCAGGGGTCTCCAGCAACACACTGGCAGGGGTCTCCAGCAACACACTGGCAGGGGTCTCCAGCAACACACTGGCAGGGGTCTCCAGCAACACACTGGCAGGGGTCTCCAGCAACACACTGGCAGGGGTCTCCAGCAACACACTGGCAGGGATCTCCAGCAACACACTGGCAGGGTCTCCAGCAACACACTGGCAGGGGTCTCCAGCAACACACTGGCAGGGTCTCCAGCAACACACTGGCAGGGGTCTCCAGCAACACACTGGCAGGGGTCTCCAGCAACACACTGGCAGGGGTCTCCAGCAACACACTGGCAGGGGTCTCCAGCAACACACTGGCAGGGGTCTCCAGCAACACACTGGCAGGGGTCTCCAGCAACACACTGGCAGGGGTCTCCAGCAACACACTGGCAGGGGTCTCCAGCAACACACTGGCAGGGGTCTCCAGCAACACACTGGCAGGGGTCTCCAGCAACACACTGGCAGGGGTCTCCAGCAACACACTGGCAGGGGTCTCCAGCAACACACTGGCAGGGGTCTCCAGCAACACACTGGCAGGGGTCTCCAGCAACACACTGGCAGGGGTCTCCAGCAACACACTGGCAGGGGTCTCCAGCAACACACTGGCAGGGGTCTCCAGCAACACACTGGCAGGGGTCTCCAGCAACACTGGCAGGGGTCTCCAGCAACACTGGCAGGGGTCTCCAGCAACACACTGGCAGGGGTCTCCAGCAACACACTGGCAGGGGTCTCCAGCAACACACTGGCTTCACTTATAACAAGCCTTAACAGACAGACGGTACTTCCATCTCGTAACTCATCTCGGCCAATCACCAATACTTCCTTAAGTATCACAGACAAACGACAGTCTACACCGACACAGTCGCTTATTCCCACTGGAACACATCTTGAATTCAAGACTGCCCTGGGTGAACTGATTCCTGTCGACCAAGATACGACCCACATCACTTCTTATTAGTAAAATGTGAGTAGAAAAAGGAAACTACAGAGCTGTCAATACGATCCCAGCAATCAATCGAGGAACAGAAAATGGGGTCGGGTGCGCTCAACAGATGGCGTCGAGGATCGTCACTGTATATATGTGGGTGGTGGATGGCCAAAACAGAACAGTGGCAGGTGGAGGCACTCACAGTAGACATATTGCCTCCCAGGGGTCAATACGGATCGTTTTTCATCGTCGGACGCCGTGAAATGATGACACGAGCCGTGAAATTAACCCCCCACGTTCAGTACCAGTTGGGCAGTACCCTGTACCCCCGCCCCACCTCTCCCCCCTATACTACAATCCTCTGTATGTAAAAGCTGTATTTATGAGTACCAATAAATATACACCATACAATTTGATATACAAATCCAATGAAAAGGGCGTTTCATAGCGTATAAAGTGATTCATTAGTGAATGCAGTACTCTTCGCTAGCCTCTCGTTACCTGCGGGTTGATAACGAAATGGTCTCGTTAACAGGGTTCACATCGTTTTGGTATTAATGACTCGAGTTTCATAGTGTTTTTATCATTGTAATTGTTGCCGGGTTAGTGAATGCACGCATGCACGCACGCACGCACGCACGCACGCACACACACACACACACACACACACACACACACACACACACACACAATGTGATGGAGGCAGACTCCATACACAGTGTCAAATGTAGATATGATAGAGCCCAGTAGGCTCAGGAATCTGTACACCAGTTGATTGACAGTTGAGAGGCGGGACCAAAGAGCCAGAGCTCGACCCCCGCAAGCACAACTAAATCAGTACACACACACACACACACACACACACACACACACACACACACACACACACACACACACACACACACACACACACACACGCACACACACACACACACATTCCTACTTTATCACGCTTGCTTCAAGATTTAACATCCCTCTTTTATGAGTCAGCGACATAGTGTAATGGGAGCCATATTGTAGTGGAGACCGCGGGAGGATATTGGCCATATTAACTAGCAGTGCCACGCTATGGTAGGAGAGGAAGTAGTTGGTTACGAAATGGGTAGTTGGTTACGAAATGGGTAGTTGGTTACGAAATGGGTAGTTGGTTACGAAATGGGTAGTTGGTTACGAAATGGGTAGCTGGTTAGTATATCTTGTTGGTTAGGTGGCTAGTAGCTAGAATGGTTGATTAGCTGGTTGATGAAAAGATTATGATTGGTCTAGGTGGATGATTGGGTGGATATGTTGTAGGGGGTTTGGGATTGGGGTGATTGGCTAGCATATTGGGTTGATTGGCTGAACAGCCAATCTATTTACTTAATGTTCGAGAGGTTGATTGGCCAGTTCCGGTTTTATTAAAAATTTGATAAATACCTCCAATGAATACTTTTAATAAATAACAATTTTTATTTATTTTATTTAGATTTATTATTTAGATTTTTGATAGATTGGCTAATAGCTTTGACTGGAGGTGTGATTGAGTTATTGGTATATTTAGTGATACGTTAATTGAATGTTGGTTGCTGAGTTGATTGGTTGGTTAGAATGATGGAATGTGGTTAGTCTGGTAGAAAAG